TCCCTGGGGGTGAGTTGGATGTGCAGCAGATTTCAAGCAGGATTTGATGAACCCACTGCAAACTGAACCCAAGCAGATTAGATTATCCCTACTTCTAAACTTCCCCCTCTACAGAAAAAATCTCTATGTCTGGATTGATTAGTATCTGCTTGAAAAGCGCAAAACACAAAAACCATACATTTGAATGTACACTGTGCACAAAAACATGCATCGCACAAAAAAGTACATGTGTGATATTCTGGGCGACTTCCGCGCGTTCCAGCTATAGTAGTAGCCGCAAACATGAGGAAACCACACGTATGTTAAAATGTGTGCGCTGAAATTAAAATGCGATGTGTGAATGGAGCCTCACTTGTGTTATGAATCTTAGAGAAACTATTTCTATTAGAGACGTATGTTAGGTCCACAGCTTCTTTGTGCTGCCTACATTTAAAAATAGCACTTAGGCTAGGTTCACACCTGGGCGATTTATCGCACAGATTGGGTCGCGCAATATTGCGCAAAACACAGATTCAGAAGTCAATGGAGTCTGTTCACACCTTTGCGGTTTGTCGTGCCAAATTCCAAATTCACCAAATGCCAAATTCATGAGACCCATCTGTATATTCTATTCCCAATACTGCATCACTGACAACTACACTTCAATTACATAGGGGTCTATTCACTAAGCTGCTGTAGGCAGCCGAGTGAACGACCGACCTGAAGCGAACGTTGTTCGGCTATTCACTTTGGGCTGGTACGGCTGATTCCAGCCATATATCGGCTGAAATCAGCCGTACATCGGGTGGCTTTGCGTGAGGCTAGATCCTTCTGCTGCTTCGTGAATAGACCCCATAGTAGATGTAATATATATCACTATGTATACTATAAATGTATAAAAGTCCATCATAAATAAATCTTCTATTACTATTTTCAGTTTAGTAACACATAATTTGTTAACCTTGATGATTATGAATAATGCAATTTATATTACACTGAACATGTGCCATATTTATATCACAAAATTAATTATTCTCTTCACAAATATCCAAAAGATGATAAATTGTATCGATTTAGGGACTGCAAATTTTAGCAGCTACAAAAGACAGCTGTATAAAAAATATTTCACTTTTTGTTAACAAATAGCGGATTTCATTATTTTTATTGTAAAAAAGACAAGTTCAAAAAGTCAAAAACGTATCCTACTACCTTATAATGAGGTATCTGCAGACAGTTAGAAAATGTGGTGTGATTTGTGTTACTTTTGTGAATAGTTGTCTGATGATAACCAAAATGTTTACTGACACACAAGAGAGTTCTGAATGCACATTAATAAAAGTGCATGCTATAATAATCATTTATGTCTGCGACTATGTATTATCAGGACATTACTTTCCATGATCACTTTTCAGGCAATCAATCATTACAATAGGGAATGTATACCGGATAATTTTCTGTACACAGAATCAAGGAAAAGTAACTACGGCCCATTCGGGAAAACAGAATATATTGCTACAACTATCTGTGATGTGACTCATCTGGAGCATCAGTGCCATAAATATGTGACCAATAGTCACCCACCAGCTTTACCAAATGCCACTACTACTACTTGCCATATGTCTGATTTGTAGAACCTTCATACTGTGGGCAATCATTCAAAAAGTCATGTGACTACAAGGCCAGCTAGGCACAGGCGTCTATTCATATCAGAATACCATGCCAGCTAGACCATAAGGAACTACATGTTTCTGCCAAAGTCGGGAAAGAAATAACAGATTCCCTTTTCAGAAAGTCCATTTTCTTCTAAAGTAACTTATTTGATCTTAAAGCCACTCCGTCACTAGCTACAAAGTTTTGAAACAGACCAACATTTAAGGAAAAGGGTTAACACTTATCAGTCCAACTGCCTGGACTGCCCATCATCCCTTTCTCTGACACATTTCTTGAATAGGAATGAACTTGGTCTAAACCTGAGCTCATCCAACCCGGATGTTAGGTGTCAGTGTATGCCCAATCAGCTGTGCCCAGAACATCCCATGCCCCTGTAAATAAAAGGGCAGGATACTGGTGACATCATTGACCTTATAAGGCCACATGGCCATATTTGATCAATTGTGCAGGTGACCCAGTCAGGTTAATCTCATTGACCAAATATGGCCATTTGGCCATACAAGGTCAATTATGTCACCAGTATACTACTCCTATGTGTGTGACACCTTCTGGGTTCGAATTAGTTCAGGTTTGGACCAAACTCTAGGTCTGGGGTGGACAACTCCCCAGATAGCAAGGACACAACCTCGTGGCAGGGTTAAATTGTAATTCTTTCTAACTTGCTGCACACATTCCTTGCAAGTCTACAACTTGCAGAACACTTGCAGCACAAGTTCTAGTTGACACTTTTTGAATTTGTAGCAAAGTTGCTTGGCAAGTCTACAGCAAGAGTCCTGCAGATCTTAGCAAGAGCTCTGCAAGTGTACACCACTTTTGCAAAGCATGTTGATCTGGAGACTTGCAATGCAGACTTGCTGCAATTGTGCTACAAAATTGTGAAGCTTGGCAAGTCTGCAATAGTTTAGCAAGTAATTTTCAAACTTGCAGCTCAATTGCTTGATATCTGGGTCTGGCCCTCCAGCTGTGCTTTAACTACAAATCCCAACATGCCTCTGGGAATCATGCCTGTAACTATCAGTCTTACGATGCCTCATGGGACTTGTAGTTCAACAACAGCTGGAGGGTAGGAGTTGCCCACCCCTGTTCTATTCTGATGCAGAACTTTCTACTTTGATTTTATGCAGCTGAACGAAGTGCACGATTGCTGAGCACAACGAAGCTGCATGCAGGGACCCATAATATACAATAGTGCTACGTGCACAGACACACAGTATGCTATAGTGCTGCGTGCAAAGGACCCACAAAATGCAATAGTGCTGACCAGACCCACAATATACAATAGTGCTGCGTGCATGGACCCACAAGTTGCAATAGTGCTGTGCGCACAGACCCACAATATGCAACAGTGCTGCGTGCACGGACCCACAATATGCAACAGTGCTACGTGCACAGACCCACAATATGCAACAGTGTTGAGTGCACGGACCCATAATATACAATAGTGCTGTGCTCAGACCCATAAAAAATACACTGTATGCATCTAAACGAAGCATTTTTTATGCTCGTGTAAACGCAGGAGAGTGATCTGAAAAGCATAACATTTGCCACTATTTGCCCAATAATTTCTGCTACATTTAAACTCACAGTGTGCAGCATCTATGAGCTGCGACTATGTTGGACGAGGCTGCCTAACATATATGGTGAATGAGGCCCTGAAAGTTAAGGCTTCCCAGATCACTTGTTCCTGCGTTTAAAAATTCCCCCTCATTCATACCTGAGCGTTTTGTCACACATTTCCTGAAGCACAACACTCAACATGAAGAGCCCTATTAGTATATGAGCTTTTTCCACGCCTGTTTTTGGCTTCCATAGTCCTCAATACTTGAAGAAATGCTTATAACATGCGTTTTCCTCACAGTTTATTGCATATCCTCCTCTCTCCTACTTCTACTGACTAGCTTTCAGTTGGCTGAAACAAAAATGCTCAAGCCTGAAAAACGCACCAAAAAAGCTTCAAAATCGCCCAGAAACGCTCACTCTCAAGTATGAATGGGGGCAGTTTAGTTGTTTACACACCTTCAGAGTTCCTAATTTGACCCTGAATGCACCAATTTCTATTTTTTCTAAACACAGGTAAACGTCCAGTCTGAAGGATCCAAGGCACATCATTACCCGCATTTATAAATGAGCTCTATGCCTCTATTCACACTTGTGTACCTGCATTTTCATGTGTTTATTAATTGGTGTTTTTTTATGTTTTTTGCATTTTTGCTTTGGCCAACAAATGTGCTAAAATACACAAAAATGCATATTACATGCTTTCTTAATGCTTTCCTATTGAAGTATATGAGAAGAAAAGAAGATCCTGGACCATTTTCCAAGTCACATGACAGCGCAATGCCTAAACATAACAACATGTTTATAACAATAATTACATTAAAGTATTTTGTAAACATAACAATAAAAAGGAAATGATATAGAAAATAATGGGATTCCTCCTTTTATGCATTGACGTACGCTCACTGAAGCTCTTCAAATCACACAGATGTGAACGGGAATTCATATAAATGCAGGTTGGACACTCCCAATGTAAATGGGCCCCCTCAGTTGTGGGCAAATTCAGCCCTCCAGCTGTGATTTAACTACAAATCCCAACATGCCTCTACCTCTGGCAGTCATGCCTGTAACTGACAGTCTTGCAATGCCTCATGGGACTTGTAGTTTCACAACAGCTGGAGGGCCGGAGTTGTCCACCCCTGCCACAGAAAAGGGATCCCCTGGGTTGTGCATGCTGAGGCACTTCAAATTGCACAGGTGAAGTGCCTATAAAAGCAGGTTGGACACCATAAAAGATAATGGGATCCCTCTTGTCATGCAGCGGCTGAGTTGCTTCAAATCGCACAAGTGAAACACCTATGAATGCACGTTGGCGCTGCCACTGTGAATGGACCCCATCGGAAAATATGGCATCCCTCTTGTAATGCGACCTCTGAGGCGCCTCAAATCGCACAGGTGAAACACCTGTAAATGCAGGTTGCACACTACTGAGGTGAATGGACCCCATAAAAAAATAATAGGATCCCTCTTGTCATACTGGGCTGAGGCGCTTCAAATCGCACAGGTGAAACACCTGTAAACGTAGGTTGAGCGCTGCCAATGTGAATGGACCCCCTAGAAAATAATAGGATCCCTCTGGTCATATGGGGCTGAGGTGCTTCAAATCGCACAGGTGAAACACCTGTAAACGTAGGTTGGGCGCTGTCAATGTGAATAGACCCCCTAGAAATTAATAGGATCCCTCTTGTCATGAGACGCTTTAAATTGCACAGGTGAAACACCTGTAAATGCAGGTTGGACACTGCCGGAGTGAATGAGCCCCCATATAATACAGACACGTCATATCCACTCACCTGTGCTCTCCTTTTTCCTCTTGGAAGCCTTTTTGCCCGGGCCCCCCGTCCCCCCATACTCTTCACTGGGGCAACCCGAGCCGTCCAGCAGGTTGGGGCTGCTGCTGTCCATGTCCCCGGAGCTGAGCTCGGGGTTGAGTCTCCTCCTGGCCTCTGTGGCAGACAAGTGCCAGTCCGAGTGATGGAAGGGGTGCTCGGGGTATAGGCGCTCCTCCCGGGGAAAGCTATGCGGGGCTGTTGCCAAGCACGAAGCAGAGAAGTCCGGATAGGAGTTGTAGTCGGGCTTCTGAGGGAAGAAGGGGGGGACTTGTTGATAGGGGTGCAGAGAAGAGCTGACATCCCCCTGGGGGTTCCTCATACGGCCCCATAGTGGGGCGCTTCTCATACAGCTGCTGGCTGACGGATCCATGGGGGTCACCTTATTGGAGAGAAGTTGGTGCCGATGTCCTCTCAGCTCATTGACATGATCGAGCCTGGAAACAATGCACGGCTGTCCATACACGGTTTAAATAGTACCCCGGGAGAGGGTGACAAGTCTGTGAAATGTGAGAGAGGGGAGGGGGGCTGAACACATCGCGTCCCTCCAACCAAAGCACAGCAGCCCGCCATTCATCATCAGTAACCTTAGAGCCGCGTCTAATGGCATCTGCAGATGCAGGAGTGTTGTCTGTACAACACATTGGACACACAACACACCGGCCTTTTATCTGTCCTGCGAAGAGTTTATTGAGCCCATAACTAAATTCTTTCACTTTTAGAGGGAACAAAGTCACTTTGAGATCGCCGTGGAATATTTGCAGTGTTCTGGACATGGTAAAGTACAACTATCTATTGGTCTACAGATCCCAATAAAGGGAATCGACTTACACTAAGTATAAGGGAAGGAAAACTGTGTTTTTAAAGTTACACTAAATTCAGGAGTTAAATCTTTAAAATGTATTCAAGCACACTAGCTTTTATCATAAACATACCTTATTTGTGTATGATTTAGCTGTAGATTTTCAAATCATCTCTGCATTTATGCTGACACTGTACTTCCTTCTGGAGGGTGGCTACTTTTGTTCCCCAGGGTCCCTGTGCACTGTAGAGTAGCCACCGCTCAAAGCTCGCTCATGTGATGGACTACAATCTAAATACAAATGAACTAACTAAATAGGAGATTGTAGTCCATCATGAGAGTGAGCTTGGAGCGGTGGCTACTTTACAACACACAGGGACCATGGGGAACAAATATAACCACCCTCCAGAAGGGAGGACAGTTTCAGTATGAAATCAGAGATAATTTGAGTGATACACTCAAAAGGTCCACTTTTGTTAATAGTTTTGGTACTTGAATGTATTTTTAAAATTTAACTCCTACGTTTAGTGCCACTATAAGGAGGAGGGCAAAAACACACAAAAAAGTGGGATTCCCCCTTCACATTAGAGTCCTCCTTAACATTGTCAAGCTCTCTTTCAAAACAGGGTACCCCTCTTTTAAATCAGGAGCCACCTTCACATCAGAGTCATGACTTTGTGTGAAGATTTCAAGGGAGCCAGAAGACACACCAGGGTGCAACAGCACCCTGGTTGAGAAAGACTGGGTTAAAGTCTTATATAGGTTTAGGTGTATCAGGAAAGGCAGTTCTACCTACCTGATTCTTGCTCCCCCAGCAGTCAACACAATCCTTATCTTCCCCTACACTTCAGCTTGTGGATTGTCCATTGCCGTCCTCATGTATAATGTAGATCTAAGGGCCCAGCATTGTATGCGATGATCAGCGGGCTTCTGACCGCCAAACCGCACTGGGGAGGAGGCCGAGGGTGCCAGTCTTGGATCCCACAGGAGCGGAAATCAGGTAAGTAAAAGTCCTTTACACAATACCCCTAGACCTATTTGAGCATTTAAAGATCTGCAGTGTGGGCTACCCCCACACTGCAAGGGTTAATTGGTCCTTTTGGTCTAGAGGACGGAATAAAGATGATACGCTCACCAAATCCTCAATCTTGCGGCAGTGACCGCTCACCTCTCTCCCCCTCCACTACAACTAGGGTATGTCCCTCGGCATCCTCGTGTCTAGAAACTGTAGGGACCGGTCAAGCAGTCGGGTGGGATTGAGGATCAGGTTAGTAAATCTGCTTTATTTGAGCTCCCTAGACAAAATCAGAACTTAATCCTTGTATTGTGGGGTAGCCCCACTGCAAGGGTACTTTTAAAAAAACCTTGAGTTCTTCTTCAAAATGTATTTCCACTTTTGCAGACACATTGGGATAACACCTATATTATATTTGTTACACGTTCTCATTTACATAGCATACAAGTATTTAAACATTGCTGCTTACCTTTTACTTGCTTAAAACTCCTACCTCGCTTTCCTATTCCATATATATTTAAGGAGGGGGATGTGGAGTTATGTTTATCATAAGTAACCCTGTCTGTACTGGGCTGGCAGAACTCAGGGCTTGGGTGGTACATTGTATGTTAAAAAATATCACTCAATCTTTCCCCTAAGTGCACATTGACATCTATTCTATACACTTCTGCCTGTAGTGTCCTATGTATCAGCCTGCTCCAAAGAAACAACTAGAAACTATAAGAAACTAGAAACATATGGTGGGGCAGGCGGGGGGTTCTCAAATCTGACTGCAAAAGATCGAAAATACCTTTTAATATGAAAGGGATGATTCACTGTTGTAATAATTTTCACTCTTGGAAAATTAAATCAGTGTATGTGTCAAGCAACCAGTTATCCGAATGATCATTTCCCCCCTATAGGCATATGGCTATTTGAAGAGAATATAAAGGGAGCGAGTGGCAATGATGAAACAGTATCTAATCATGGGCAGTCCTACAGATTACAAATATCAATCAATCCAAAACTTATATTTAGTTTTGATTGAGGAAGAAGAAATTATCCAAATACAAAAAGGTTTTTTTTTTTTTATTTCATTTAAAAAAAAATAGGCCCTCAAGGCTCTCAAGTAGCAAGATCTCTGTGCTTCATTTCCCCGGTGTGCTTCAGCCATCGTGATTGATATTACTCTCCCTATTGGAGTTTTACTTTGGATTGTATTATGGAATAGGCCGCAGGAGGAATGGAAACAACCAAAGGTGAGCAGGAACACACAAAACTCCACACAGAACGAGCAGGTAAAATGGGGATATCTCACTGCTGGAATTCCCAAGATCTATACAAAACGTTTGGTCACTGAGATCATTACATTCTACCTATAACTGATGTTGTTGGATGAACTGTACCATTAAAGGAGAACTATGAGGTGAGTGCTTCTCACCTCATAGTTCTAGCCGACCTGTGACAATGAGACTGATGGACTTGCGGCCAAAAAGCCATACCTCTGACATTGAAACAAGGCTAAGAGACTCAACTCTGTGTGAATACATAGGATATTGGGGTGCAGAAAAATGTCAGTAGGTGCTCTGGAATGATGAGTCAAAATGTGAAATATTTGGCTGTAGCTGGAGGAAGTCACCAAGGGCTGGAGAGTAGTACAATAATAAATATTTGCAGGCAACAGTGAAACATGGTGGAGGTTTCTTGCAAGTCTTTGGCTGCATTTCCACCAATGGAGTTGGAGATTTGGTCAGGATCAATGGTGTCCTCAATGCCGAGAAATACAAGCAGTTGCTTATCTATCATGCCATACCATCAGGAAGGCCCCAAATTTATTCTGCAGCAAGACAGGGACCCCAAACATACAGCCATGCATACATGTCATTAAGAACTATCTTCAGTGTAAAGAAGAACAAAGAGTCCTGGAAGGGATGGTTTGGCCCCCACATGGCCCTGATCTCAACTTCATCGAGTATGTCTGGGATTACATGCAGAGACAGAAGGACTTGAGGCAGCCTACATCCACAGAAGATCTGTGGTTAGTTCTCCAAGACATTTGGAACAACCTACCTGCCGTGTTCCTTCAGAAACTGTGTGCAAGTGTACCTAGAAGAATTGGTGCTGTTTTGAAGACAAAGGGTGATCACACCAAATATTGATTTGATTTGGATTTCTCTTCTGTTCATTTACTTTCCATTTTGTTAATTGATAAAAATAAACTAATAACACTTGCCTAAAACGTTTGCGCACACACACACATAAATTTACATTTTAGATGCCAGTATTCATTCTTGTTTCTTTAACCAGTTGACATCCGGGGTGTTAAACCCCCTTCCCATCCAGGCCATTTTTCAGTATTCAGCGCTGCGGTACTTTGACTGACATTTATTCCGTCATGCAGCGCTGTACTGAAATGAATTTTATACCCTTTTTTGGGGACACATAGAGCTTTATTTTGGTGGTATTTATTCACCACTGGGGTTTTTATTTTTGAATATATTAAGGAAAAATTACAGAAATTTAAAAAAAAAACAGTTTCCCCTATAATAAATTCTAAAACATTTATTATTACCCAATTTTTTGGTAAAATATAAAAGACGGGGTCACGTCGGGTAAAGAGACACCAAACATGTCAAGCC